AACCAAATTTGCAATGGCATGAGGTTAATGCATTGATCCATTTTCGCTTCCGCACATAATAGTAATTCCTACAATACAAAGTCAAAAGTTGTGGCGGGAGATGAGTGTCTGGATAACATAGTCAATAATGGAATCTACCATGTTCCCATCATTGAGTTCGGCCTAGCACGTGAAGCTAGAACTGATTGATAAAACATTTTTTTTAAAAAAAAAAGGTCGTCAAAGGAATCATCGTGCAAATTAAGGACTGTAACTAAAGTCCAAAGCTGCTTCCAACACTTGCTCAGAACGCTAGTTTGAACAACTTTTGTTGCGTCCACAAAAGAGAGGATGTTATGGATCACTTCATCCGGCAAGTTGCTGTTCTCTTTTTCTTCTCCTTTTGTTTTTTGTTATTCTTGTCGTTCCTCTTATTGCTGTGTTCTCTCTGCCAAACTTAGAAGTGTTTCCACCTTCAATTTCCACTGAATTCTTCATCTTCTTTTTATGAGAAAACTTTTTTCTTGAGTGTTGTCTTTCTTCTTCTTTCTCTTTCCCTTTCCAAATGATTTAAATAGTTATTTTTTAAAAATTATTTTATTTTATTTTTTTATACGAAACATATGTTTTGTACACACGCTCGTATGTTTTGTCTAAATAAAATTTATTTTATTTTATACGCGCCGTATATCTTGTACACGCTCACATGTCTTAAATAAAATTTATTTTATCTTACACGTCAATGTGTCTTGTCTAAATAAAATTTATTGTTTCTTACACGTCAATATGTCTTGTCTAAACAAAATTTATTTTTTCTCACATGCCGTATATCTTGTATACGCTCATGTCTTGTATACAAAAAATTTATTTTATCTTACACGTTGTATGTCTTGTCTGAACAAAATTTGTCAAGATAAGACATAAAAGGAATAAATATATATAAATTAATTATTTACAAATTATTTATTTTATAAAATAATTACAATATTTTTAATAAAATGTATAAATAATTATAAACCTATAAATTAAATAGTAAATTATAATTTTTTCTAACATTTTACATTAAAATATTAATAAATAATTAATAAGACAAACAATGACTTATGAAAAAACTTCTAAAATGTAGGTTAATAATTTAATACAAAAATAATGTATTGTTGTTTTTATTATTCTTTTATCATTATTACTATTAAGAAACCAATAGATATATTAATTAATTAATTAAAAAATGTATTATTTTACAAAAAAAATTATAACATCACTATGAAATATATAGATGATTATGTATCTACAAATTATATGATATGATAAGTTTTAAAGTTTAGTACTTGCTATTGATACCTATAAACTTGAAATTGCATTATATGTCTTCTATAAATTAAGAGTTGTGATTATTTTAATATATTAAAAATTAAAAGATATTTACATCTTTTTCAAACTTAGAATTAGGTTTCTTTGGGTGAAATGAGAAACGATTTGTAAACCACGAAATAATGGTAGCTTGGGCATTAAGAATGTATAATGGTTTAACTAGGCGTTTATTGATAAATGGTTGTGGCGATGTGTTAATTATTCTAACTCATTGTGGGTGTAGGTGTTAGAAGCTAGGTATGGCAAATTAGCTTGATAAATGGTAGTGCATTGATCCATTTTCGCTTCCGTACAGATTAGTAATTCTTACAATACAAAGTCAAAAGTTGTGGTCTCAGTAGCTATATTTTTAAGCTTGAGGGTGGTGAGAGATTGACAAAGAAAAAGTTAAGGTAACTTTCCTATACCACATTCTGCAAAGATGCTAATAAACTTAACTTTATGTTGCCTGAGATGAGTGTCTGGATAACATAGTCAATAATGGAATCTTGTGCATGCCATTGTGAATAGTGATACTAATGAATATTGGTTAGACAGAGGATGTAAGATTAATTATGATAAAAATGCAGAATTGGGATCAAATTTATAGTACAATGATGAGAGGAAAAGGTGCTTTTTTTAAATGAAAGAATTTATGACATTAACTTACTTGAAAATTCCGTGTACTCATATGATTAATTAAATAATTGACATTTTTTTTAGTTCAAACTGAAAGCATACAGTTTCACTTTTGGAATTGTTTTCCCCTTCTGTTTCTCATCTTTACATCTCCAAATTTTGCGAAGAAACTAAATAAAAAGATTAAAATTCTGATGAGAATGTAACGAGAAAAATAGCATTATGTCTTTATTTGTCTTGTTTTGAGCGGGAGTAAATATCAAATTAACACAAATTAGTATATATAAAATATATTAAACACAAATATCTATTTTTCAAAAAATTTCAGTAATGAAATGAAGCTAAAAATATTGGGTTGAGAATTAAACGTAAGTTGAGACATTAAAGAAAAGGGCATGAATGACTAGCTGAGTGAAACCAGAAGTGTCACTTTGTTTGCATTTGAACAATTACTTTACATTTATACCAATTTGGGATTACATGTACATTTGCATCATATGGATGACATTAAATTATCCAAATTCTAAAGGCACACGGCATGACCTTTTTTACCAATCACCAAATTTTATGTCTTTCAATAAATGAAGTATATCTGTTGCTTTCCCAATCACATAAGAATTAGAATATAATAGAGTTTTGTTCATAAAATTTATTAAAATAAATTAATAATTTATTTTAATAAATTATACAAACAATCTATTAATTATGTAAAAAAATATGAGAATATCACAAACTCAATTATATTATCTTTATATAATTTATTCCTAACCGTTAAAAGAAAAATTCATTGAAGCTCATACATAATTTTGACTTAAATAATTTATCCATCCTCAAGTATTTAAACGTCCTCCTTTATTTATCTCTATTTATTTATATGATAAAGGCTTACGTGTTTCTTATTATTAGAATCATAAAATATTCATTTACAAACATATCAAATCAATAAGTAGTTTAAAAATAAAAATAAATTAACTATATTTATAGAAAATAAAATCATATTTTATCGAGTTCTTTTAAAAGCACGTACATCAAAGGGTAAAAGTGGCAATAAAAAGCTCGCGATGAGCGTCGTCATTTCACGCCATGCTGAACTTAGCCGTGTGAGAAGGCAGATATTAAATTTGTTGATGGTTTCTCTGTTATATTAAATGCTTTCAAATCTTTAATTTCTGATTTTGGTTCAATTCATTCCTAACTCATTCAACCCACTCTTTCTACCTTCTCTTGCCGCCCAAATTATCTTTAGAAATTTAACTTTAGAATTTTGCATAAATAACATAATTTAATAACTATTTATGTTCCCAATGGAACAGAGTTTGCACAAACCAAAAACCAATTGAAAACAAATGATCCTAATTATTAATTATTTCATGTCATCCAAAATATAAAATTATTTTATTTTTAACTATTAGAATTTTGCATAAGAATTAAAATATAATAGATATTAAAAATATCTCTAAAGATTGTTATTTAATATTTTATTATCCCCCTCCCCAACATCGTATCTTGATTAATATTTTTTTTATTTATTAACCTCTATAAACCACACATTAAATACTAAGGGTAAAATTATTTTTAAAAATATTAATTTATAAAAAATAAAAAAAACTAAAATATTAAAAAAAAATAGAAGCAGTTTGAAACTTAATTTTATTCTGTATCACTTCATAATAAGATTTTATTATTAGCTACCCTAAAAATTTAGTCCAATTTACCTTAAATATAGCAATTTTGGTTAATTTAATCTATTCAACTCAGTTGACATGACTCGATGCAAGAAATAAAAATTAAATTTATCAGAGCATTTACAATGAAAATTCAAGCTAAACTCTGTAGCATATTTATGTGAGTTGGGCTGAATCATTATCATTATGTGTCAATCTTTTAAAATGACAGATAAAATAAGTAATTTAAAGCATGTTTCATATTAATAAATTAAGTTTTTAGATAAAAAGGAAAAATAATAAAGATTTTAGTATATTTTAGTATTATTCTCAAGTATTAAATTTAGTAAAACTTACTTTTGAATTTTAGTAAATTTTGATAGGATTTAGTAATAAATTTTATAATTAAATTTCATTAATATAAAGGCCATACATTTAATAAGATCAACAAATATTTTGATTAACATATATAATATTTAATAAGCCCAACAATCAATTTACATGCACAAAATTTTGTGAATTTAAATTGTTTTATAAAATAATGATGAAATATAATAAAAATTTTAGTATATATTTTATATATTAAATTTAGAAATAATTACTTTTTTTGTGTTGTATTAAGTTTTTCTACCAAATTTATTGATAAAAATGACCATACATTGCATGGAAATGTATTGTATTCAATAAAAGTGATAAACATGATACATTTGAGGAATATAGTATTTAATAATATTTTTTTAATATATGTCATTTTCTATTTTTAAGTATATTTACTTTGATAAATTGTATGATTTTGGGCCATATTGAAAATCTAACTCGTCTGCCACCACAAGCAACACTCATGATACTGATCTTGAGTACTGGAAAATAATTGCTTAACTTAGATATGAAATGGGTTAAGCAACCCCATTAAATGTTCTTATTCATAATATTGGAATACTTTTTTATTCTAAAAATATGTCATTATTTTTTCTTACTTAGAATATTAATTCTGCATGTTTCTTGTCAAACTGTCCCTTATGAGCATATCATTCTAACTTTAAAGATTTTTATGCAATCATTTTACCTGGAGCAACAAAAATTTTCTCTGCTGATTTTACCAAGATATTAAATTAATTTATTTTTATTTAATAATTATATTAAAATATTAAGATAAAACTATACTCGAAGAAAATGTTATTGAAATATATATTATAACTGTTTCAAATTAAAATTGAATTCCCTCTAATATCACACCAAACCAAAGGACACGAGAAAAAAAAAACAGAAGACAATGTTTAAGGCTTATTCATGACCCCTGAAGTAACGGGGAAGCTGCATGCATATATATATATATATATGAGTCCTGATTCTTGAAGTTCACCAGTCCTAGAGATGAGCAGCTGGAGGAACAGTGTAGCCTGAAAAAAACACATAATGATGGAAGAAAAAATATCATACATGATGAAGAGAGTAATATAATTCTAATATAATATTTTAATTTCCGTAGTTCACTTAAGATGTTTAAACTTAGATAAAGCTAAAATGAAGAGAGTAAAATGAAAATGACATTAAAGATGATAGAAAGCTTACTTCCACACTTGGTTCCCTTAGGAACAGAGCAGCCACAAGTCTGGGCTACATAGACAGCTTTTTCCATGCTGATCTTGCCCTCAATTTCAGGTGGAAAATTTTTACAGAGACAGGGTATATCAACTTTTTTCAAAACTTCACAACATTTATCTGATGGTGAAACCTTTGGCCCGTCCTTTCGTATGAACTGGCTACATGCCTCTAAAACTGATAACAAATTACTTCCACATTCAGAGATGTCATGGAGCTTCCCTAGCACTACAGTGCTAGCAAGCATCAATGTTACAAACACCAAGATTCTAGTTGTGCATGCCATGGTAAATGGTGATGCTAATGAACCTTGCTTATATGGATGATAGATTGATTATGGTAATTACGCAGAATTGAGATCAAATTTATAGTGCAAGGGATGAAAGAAAAATGCACTTTTTTTAATGAAAAAATTTATTGCATTAACATATTCAAAGATTCCGTGTACCATTGAAATGTGTTTGATTAAATAATTGACATCATTTTTAGTTCAAGCTGAAAGCATAGGTTTCTTTTCGGGATTTGTTCCCCCTTCTATTTTTCATCTTTACATTCCAAATTTAATGAAAAAAATAAGTAAGGAGATATTAAAAATCTTATGAGAATATATATGACAAGAAAAATAGCATGATGCCTTTATTTATCTTGTTTTGAGCATAAGTATTAAATTAACACAAATTCATATGAAAAATATACTAAACCTGAAATCGATTATTGGAAATTTTCAGTAATGAAAAATGAGCTAGAAATATTGGGTTGGGATTTAAACATAAGCTTAGATGTTAAAGAAAATTTTATAAAAAGGCATGAATGATTAGGTGGGTAGAATTAAAATGTTTCTCTTTCTTCACATCCTCCATCTTATCAATTACTTCACATTTATACCAAATTGCAATCACATGTACGTTTGCATAGTGAGGTTTGGTCTCATACTCATCTTCTTTAATATTGCTAGAATTATATTAAGAGTGGTCCAAATACTTCTAACAAAACAAGGGTCAAGCACTAAAGCAACCTCTTTGTACTGTTCAATATGGTATTTAAATTGCATTTGTATACAATAAAGCCCTTCATTGCTGATTTTCTAATAAAGTTATATTAAAGGCTTCCAAATCTTTAGTTCTTCCCCTTTTTCTGATTTCAGTTACACTCTTTTCCATCTCATGCAAGCTACTCTTTCTGCCTTCTACCATTGCTTGAATTATTTTTAAAAATATTTAAAAATAAAAATAATGAAAAATTTTAAATTGCGCAATATTGTACCAGATAAAAAATTATATAAAATAGATTTTCATAATACATATAAATTTAATGTAAATTATAATATTTAATATTTTCAATGTATTCAATAACATTAAATTTTATAATTTTAAATAAAAGTTTATTATATATAATTTTTTTATCATTTATAATGTTACACATGTTAAAAAAATAATTAGAAAGTTTGTCACCGAAATTAAGATAATTTACATCAATGAAATTATAGGAAAGGTGTTTTTCCCATAATAAACATTATTCCTTCATTTCATCACTTAGATCTTCCTAAAGAAACGAAGTTTTTTATTTTAATTTATTTTTACAAGTTGAAAGCATATGTTTTATTTTTTTATTTTTTTTATTTCTCATTTTTACGTCTCCAAATTTTGTAAAGAAAATAAATAAAGAGATATTAAAAATCTGATGAGAATGTAATAAGAAAATTAACATATTGCCTTTATTTATCGTGTTTTGTACCTGAATAAATATTAAATTAACAAAAATTCATATAAAAAAATACTATACAAAGAATTGATATTTTTTAAAATTTCAGCAATGAAATAAACAAGATAAAAATATTGGGTTGAGATTTAAACGCAAGTTGAGACATTAAAGAAAAAAAAAAAAAAAAGGCATGAATGCTCATGTGGATAAAATTAAAATGTGTCTCTTTCTTCACATCCTCTATCTGAACAATTACTTTACATTTATACCAAATTGCAATCCAATGTACATTTGCATCATCAAGTTCGATATCATACTCATCTTCTTTAATATTGCTAAAATTATACTAAGAGTGGTCCAAATATTCTCAAGGGACCTGTTCTTTCTGTGGTATATGATAAATTCCATAGCTAGTTTTCTAATGAAGTTATATTATATACTTCTAAATCTTTAGTTACTCACCCTATTTCTGATTTCAGACAGCCTTTCCCAATCATCCAAGCCACTCTTTCTACCTTTTGCCCCACACAAATTATCTTTGAAAATATTGAAGAGCAGGAATAATAATTAATTTACGCATCTAAAACCAAACTGAAAATGAAATCCTACTAATTATTAATATTACATTTCATCTAAAATAATACTATCTTTTTAACGATTAAAATATAATAGATATGATAAATATCTCTGAATATTATTATTTAATATTTTATTATTCTACACACCTACTATTTTAGTTAATATTTTACTTATTTATTAACCTCTATGAAACACACACTAAATACTAAGGGTAAAATTATTTTAAAAAATCATTAATTTAAAAAAAATACTAAGTATAAAAAATATAAGCAACTTAAAAATTAATTTTATTCTATATCACTTCATAATAAGATTGGCTACCCCCTAAAAAATTAGTCCAATTTGCCTTAAATATAGCGATCTTAGTCTATTTAAACTATCCAGCTCAGTTGCCATGACTGGATGCAAAAAATAAAATAAAATAAATTATTAGAGAATTTAAAATGATAATTTGAGCTAAACTCTTTATATAAAGCAGATTTATGTGAGTCATAATGCATCATCACCTCATCATGGTCCATTGTTTAAAATGACAGATAAAATAAGTAATTTAAAGCATATCTCATATTAATTAATTTTTTAGTAAAAAAGAATAAATATTTTATTATATGTTAATATTATTCTCAAGTAATAAATATAGTAAAAAACTTACTTTTTTTAATTTAGTAATTAAAATTATGATAATGTTTAGTAATAAATTTTATAATGAAATTTCAATAGTATAAAAGGCCATACATTTAATAATCCCAACAAATATATTGATTAACATATATAATATTTGATATTCATTTTAAATTAATTTAATTATATTTGATAAATACAGCATTTCATGTTAGTGTATGTAGTGAATTTATAGCTTACCGATTTACATGCACAAAATTTTGTTAATTTAAAGTATGTTTTATAAAATAATAATGAAATATAATAAATTTTTTAGTATATATTTTATATATTAAATTTAGAAATAATTACTTTTTTTGTGCAGTGTTAAGTTTTTCTATCAAATTTATTGATGAAAATGGCCGCATAGAAATATATTATATTTAATAAAAGTAATAAACATAATATATTTTATTAATGTAGTATTTAATAATAATTTTTAATTTATATATATATATATATTAAATTTAATAAATAATTTATATATGTGCGGTGAAATTTACTTATATATTATTTATTAGCTCATATGTATTTGAGTTGGTGAACTTAAAGTATGTTTAAGAAGTTTTTAAAATAATATTAAAAATAATAAAATTTTTATTATGTGTTTAGCTATTAAATTATTAATAATCATTTGATTAAAAGAATAATAGTGTAACACAAGAACTGAACAAAATTCATTTTATTAAAAGTACAAAAGATTAATTGTTCATATATGGCAAACATCTACATTTGTTAGTAAAAGTTGGAGATCACTCAACTAATTAACAACAAATGTGAAGCCCAATAGAGGGAAAATAAATTATTAATTAGGAGATAGTTGGTAAGTTCTCAAGCCATCCATCTTTATTGATAAAAGAAGCTAAAGAAAATTCTCCTTCCATCTGTAAAGGATTTAGCTTCTTCTCCCACGGGACACGCTTAGAAGTATCAGCCCCAGGTCCTGTACATCCAACTTCACCATACGTTAACTTATTCCTGCACAATTTTTTTACAAATTAATTAAGACAAAATTAAAGCTTTGCATTTTATATAAAAACCTGTTTTCCTTTATAAGGATATATAAAAATTATATATGTATTTTTTCATGACATGCACTTCATGTATCCTTAAAAGGTAACAAAAGGAAATGTGCCTAGTATGATATATTGGCGCTTGCCTGGTTTAATTTCTAATTTTCATAGGCTTGTGATAGGTCGTGATAATTAATTGATTTTGTGTTATTATTTAAAGGGTGTATTAATTTAATTATTTATTTAAACTTACTCTTGGCCCACGACGTTCCAAGCATTCCATCCATTGGGAGTTATTATGGAAGAAAAGTATGTTCCATAAAAAATAACTCTGGAGTAAGGGCCCCATGGCCTTCCTAAATTCACTTTACCAGTCCCAATAAGGGAACCCCCCTTAAATATAAAACCACCTGTGTCACTTGCTGAATTCCTGCTTTGGGCTGTGACAAAACCTGTAAGGGTACCCCTCCCTGTGGCGTTGATCACACAACTCTACAACAAGTGCAAGGCCACGTTAAATGAACAAGTTTTAATTATATGATTTAGAAAGTAAATGTTAAATGAATTAAGTATGTACACTTATGGATCATAAAAAAATATTTATAATTTCTTTATTTAGTAATAAAAATAATTTGTAAACATACAAAGTAAAAAATAAATAAAATTATTAAAAAAAATACTTTCTTGTTTCAATATTGAAAAAGAATTAAAAAAATGTAAAGTATGACAGAATTTATACATTATTAACATAAAATATAATAATTTAAAAATATTTATTAATTTTTGAAAATATAAATCCTTGAGAGCACATTAAAAAGTATATTATTTATTACCTCATAAAAAGATTGGCCTGCACCAAAAATGAAGTCGATTGCACCCTGAATATAGCAATCTTTAAAGTAATGGCGTCCCATTACATCAAACAAGGTGTCTTGAACACCTAAGAAACTGCATTTAAAGAAGAAAGATTTCTCTCCATATACTCTCGCTGCCACTGCGGGTAAGACTTTTCTTTTGGTCCATTCATGCCCCAAATTATGTGAATTCTGTAATCACACATTAAGAAAACAAAGATTAATAATATGGAGAGTTGCGAAAATGGTTTGCTATATCCTTAATTTGATTATGCATGCATTTACCTTGAAGGTGATGCCACTCACAATCACATTGGGTGGAGATGATGTAAATGTAGCACTCAAACCTGTTTTTTGGAAGTCACCATAAGAGATTAATGTGGTTGGGCTACCTGCTCCTTCTAAAATGATGCATGGCTTTTCTCTGGGAATATGAACCTTTTCTCTACAAAATTAATTACAACGTGCACAAACATAGTGGTTAGCTTTAATTTTTTATGTGAACTTAATATAACAACGTTTCAACTTACATATACAAGCCAGGTTTTATGTGAATCTTAACCCATTGATTATTGTTACTCCTTATAGAATCAATGGCAGCTTGAACAGTTTTGAAATCTCCTTTGCCATGTTGAGCAACAGTGATGTTATATACAATTATCTTCCCACCACAATCTGCAGCTCTACCAAGAGAGAAAAAATAGCTAGTGCACAAGATTAGAAAGAAAATCATCGGTCGAGGAAACAATTTCATGGTAGATGATCAGTGTTGAGTTAATCATGGTGGAATAAGCATATAAATAATTGTAAATACATTTGGAAAAAAATTGTCTTTATGCTCTTTCCTTGATAATTTTAAGTAAAACACAAATCTAGCCAGTTGAATATTTTTACATGAAAAATATTAAATATTCTAAATTAATTTGCATATATAGTTAATATCAGTGTCATTTATGATTAGAATAAAGAGCATAGATGGATATCTGAGGACAAGTTTCCAACGACGGTAACTACTTAAAGATATTTGACACTGTTTAAAAATGTGCATTCTATAAATATTTAAATTTTATTTCCCTAATCTTTTGTGATACTAAAATAATTACTAATTTTGTATAAATAAGTTTTAAAATTAATATTTTTAATTTATTAAATATTTAAAGTAATTATTTTATAAAATAAACTACTTAATTTAACTGTAGCAAAAACTTATTATTTTTAAACATAATTCTCATTTAATCTTATAGATAATGATTAATTTTTATCTTTAATTGTTCTTAAAAATTATTTTATATATATATATATATATATATATATATATATATTGCAAAAGCTGAAAAAAGAAAAAATTATACATAAAAGGAGTACTATTTAATACTTTTTGAAGTGTTAGATAATAAAAAGATGAAGTGCATATAATATATTTTATTAAATTCTTAGATTATTTTATGAAAATTATCATTAAAATTAGATTTTGTTAAATTTTACTATTATTAATTTATTTTTTACCTTTAAAAATAATGGCTTTTCTTGCAATTTTTTTCTTGTTAATATTAGAAAACCATATATTTTAAGAAATGAGTTAAATATTTTATCTTTAAATATATTAAATACTTTCATCTGTTTATTTACTATATTTCTTGTGTCAAAACATAATATAAGAGAATCATTTTTGTAAAAAATATTTGTTGTCAATACCAACGAAATTGCACTGATGATGATTTTCTTCTTCCACATAGATAAACTTTATATTGTAATAAAATGATTATTTCCTCAGATTGTTTCTTTAAAATTAAATTGTTTCAAAATGTGTCTATTTAACTAAATTGGTCTAAACTATTCAATAAAATGTGGTATTTAGATTTTAAAATTTGAATTTAAATTTAAACTTTTTAACTCAAATCAATTAAGACTCAAAAAATAAGTTTTTACTCATTTTAGATTTCAATTTTGCTAGTCTAAATTAAATTAATTTTTTTTAACTTAATCCACTAAAGACTATGGCTCACAGTAGGTTGGTCTTAATTTTATTTTTTCAATATATTTATTTAAATATTTTTAAAATTTTAAAGTTGTTTCTTTTATAGATATTTTTATTTAAATTTTCTAAATTATCATTTACTATTTAAAATTCTCACAGATCATGACAATTAAATCATTGATTCACTTGAAACTTACCACTTAAATCAGAAAATTCCAACATTTGTCCCAATCAAAATCATGAGCCCCACATTCAATCCTTCCATTTCATCAAATTTCCCATTCTTAAGTCTTTTAAATTGTTTTTATCTTAAAAATAATCAATTATTTAAATAAAAATAAGAATTTGAGAATTTTAACTAAACTTTTGACAAAATGTGATTACAAGAATTTTAAAATTAAATTACTAAGAGATATAAAATTACATAATGGTTATGGTAGAGGTAGCATTAAACTCATATTTTAATACTATTTTAAAAATAAAGATAGGTGTGTTCTTTCATATTTTAGATTAAAAAAATGGATGATGTAAATTTTAAGGAGTGGTTTAGTTTCAGAAAAAAAATTTTAATTATTTTTTAAATATTTGTATAAAAAATATTAAAATAACTTGTTTCTGTTTTTACTGTTTATTTTACAAATTTCAAAAACATAAATCAGAATAAAAATAAAATTATAATTTTATAATTTAAAGTGAAAATAAAAAATAAAAGTACAAAACGTTTCCAAAAAAAATAAAGAAATCTTAAATTTCTGCTTTATATAATCCATAGTAAGAAAGATTCTTAAATGTTAAGCATATGCAGGGCTAGCCTGTCTCATCATTTTGGTTAATTAAATTATTTTACTTATTATTTACATGCTAATTCTTAAAATGTGCTTTTATTAGGAAGCTAAAAAAACTAATCTCATGATTAATTATTAATTAAAGTGAGGGTCCTCTAAATAATATATATTTCCAAGCTCATAGATATTAGAACTAAACTCTAAACTACATGTGTAAGTGATCTGAATCCCTTCTGGTCAAAATAACATGTTAGTAGTTTTAAAAGTTTAGGAAGATTTAAATTTTAGAACAATTTAAAAGATTTAAAAGCCTTCAATAACAATTTATAATTTCAAGGTAACATAAAAATTTTTAGAACTAGACCATAACTTGCTTGATACAAAAATAAGGTATGAATTAGTATACAAAGATTTAAATTTAACATAAGAAGAGAAGTGTAACACAAGAATTGAACATTCATTTTATTAGAAATGTAATTAATATTTTTGTTCTGATGATAAATTAACAGCTACATTTCTTAGTTAGCATACAAAGATTAACTGTTAGAGATTACCAAACTAAGCCAATCTTAGCCATATATATACAACAAATTTGAAGGCCAAAAGAGGGAAAATAAATTATTAGGAGATAATTGGTAAGTTATGGAGCCATCTATCAGTATTGATAAAAGAGGTTACAGAAAAATGTTGTTCTATCTGTGAACGATTCAACTTCTTCCCCCACTGTACACGCCTTGAAGTATCAGCTCCTGCTCCTTCACACACAACTTCAGCGTAAGTGAATCTATCCCTGGCAAATTTGTTTATAAATTCAGAGAATATAAAAATATTTTTATAATATAAAATATCAATACACACAAAAAAAAAATTAATTTTTTAATTAAACCATGGATTTATATTGTATTCAATTACTTGGACTGTTTTATAATTAAAGAAAAATGTTTTTTTTATTTCAACCTTTTGGTGTGAAAAACAATATCAATTTTACCTAGAATTGTCCAACCACTTAATTGAAGAAAGTGAACCTAACAAATAATAGAAATGACCAGCTACTAAAAAAAATGTGCCTATTTAAATTTAAAAGGTGTTTCAAACTGCATATAAACATATTTTAAAATTACATTAACATGTAAATTTATAGTTAATTGAATTTAAATCTGAATGCACCCATACATACCCTACTAGGGCCTTACAGCCCAACTAAAATGTGGGAATTGGCTATAATGCTAAGCTAGCCAAAAAAAAATAAAAATTCAAACCCCTATCTTTGTAAAAAAATAAAATAAAATTCTTTGACCAAAATATTAACTAGAGCATAATGAAATTAATTATGGATATGTAATTAGATAAGTGAGTTTTTTCGGACACTGTATATATAAATTAATAACAAATTTTTAATATGTACAATATTGCACATCATAAAAAATATATATAGCAAATTTTTTATTAAAAATGATAATATTTAGTAAATTACATAAATTTTATAAGTTTTATTAAAAGTTATTATATATATCTTCTTATTCCTGTACAACATTTTACAGGTTAAAAAAATCAAATTAACAAAATCATGCAGATGTTAAGATTATTAATTAATTAATTAAGCATTATCATTTTGAAAGCATGTATTTATTGAAACTTACTCCAGGCCTTGGAAGTGCCAAGCATCCCATCCCTAGAAGTTTGTTCCATAAAATATAACTCTTGAATGAGGGCCCCATGCTCTTCCTAAATTCACTTTATTACTCCCAACAATGGAACCACCCTTAAATACAAAACCACTTGAATCATTTGTTGAAACCCTGCGTTGGGCTGTGACAAAACCTAGAGAACTATACCTCCCCACAGCGTTCATTGTGCAATTCTGCTAGTGAAAAACTACATAACTAATGTTTAGTAATTTCATTTTCAAAATGAAAATTTTAAGAACAAGTCCTTTCTTAATTTTTTTAAGTTTTTAATAATGGTAAAATTTTGTTAAAAAATAAAGTACGGATTAAATAATGAATATTTTATATTTAATAAAATTTTACTATTTCCATCTTATTATTTCTACTGTTTCTAACTTATTTAATCGTGTCAAAATATTATACGAGTTCTGAAATTTAAAAATAATAATAATAATGATGCATTAGAAACAAGGATTGTAGAGTAATGAAATTGATTGCTCTATAATTTGTTTGTGATTAACCTTGAAGCCAATGCCAATTGCAACCACATATTGTGGCAATGAAGTGAATGTAGCACTTATGTCTGTTATTCCATGATCACCGTAACTGATGAGCGTGGACTCGCTACCAGCTCCTTCCAAAATGATGCATGGCTTTTCTAAGGGAATGTAAACCTTTTCTCTACACAATTAGAATATGTTCAAACAGAATTATAAACTTTTTAATTTAAACAAAATTATAGACCTGCTGATATTAAGTAGTAACATTTTAATTTAAACTTAATTAAGTGTTTAATTATTATAAAAGTAGCAATATAATTTAAACTTAGTTCTTATAAAGTTTTTTTTAATAAATAATCTTTACTTTTATATAAATAATTATTTTTAATCTTTCTAACTAATGTGATCCTTTGAAATACTTTAAAGTTTCAAGTTTTTTGTTGGATCGCGTCAATTAAATAAACTATAATTAATAACTAAAAAAAAAGGAATTATATACTAATAAAATATTTTATAAGAACTCTTAAAAAATTAAAAAAGTTCTGAATGTTATATGGCCAGAGCGACCATCAGTGATGGTATTTGCAATGATATTCCCACCACAATTTGTGGCTCTAGCAAGAGGAAAAAAACCACCAGTAGAAAATATTAGAAAGAAAATCATTGGTCCAGGAAACAATTCCATGGTAGATTATCAGTGTTGAGTTAGTCATAGGAGCATAAACATCATGTTTCATATATATATAAGCAAATAATTAATTACAAATACATTTGACACAAAATTGTCTTTATCTTCATTCCTTAATAATTGGAAGTAAAACACAAATCTAGCTATTTCAATCATTACTACCTGAAAATTATTAAATATTCTAAATTAATTTGCATATATGAATATATAATTAATATATTTTCTAATAAGAAAGTATCAAACATCACAGTGTGTTAGTCTTATCGAAGAGCATAAATCGATATTTGGAGACAAAGATGGGCTTCCGAGGCCAACTTAAGATATTTGGCTGATTAATAGGGTAAACTAAATATTTAAAAAAAAAACATTTTTATTTTCCTAATATTTGTGATACATTTTATTTGTATGAATAAGGTTAAAATTTAACAATTTAAATTGATAAAATAATTAAATGGATTATTAATTGATTAAAACAATCTATTTAACTATTACCAAAAATTGCTCCTTTTTTTTACATAATTATCACTAAATGCAATAAATAATTATTAATTATTATTCTCAACTGTGCTTGGTAGTTATTTTGATTAAAAAATTACCATTAAATATAATGGCTTTCTCTTGCCTTATCTTTCTTTCCTTGATAATTATAGAGAACAGTATATATAAATCAATAACTATTACTTAAAAAATTATAAATCTATTATATCAAATAATCCATAATACAATCCTTTTATTTATATTTTAAGAAAAGAGTTAATATTTTAATTTTAAATTTATTAAATATTTTAACCAGTTCTATTATATTTTGTGTTTTTGAAGGTGTTAGAATATAGTTTAAGAGGATAATATTAGTGTTCATACATCTTTCTTTTATCAGTATGATACAAAGAATAATCACTAATATAATGATTTCCTTGGGCATAATGCCGTGCTAACCTAAACAAATAACCTTGCAAATTATATTTGTCTGATTAACAAAATTTATACACATAATAAAATGTGTTAAATAAATGTCGGATAATATATAATATACTGCCACCATTTCTCCTGCCCCTTTTTGGCGACAGATACTTTCTAAGTAATAACTCTAATTTACAAACTCGATTTCTCACATTTTAAAAGCCCCATCACTATTTATTTATAAAATTGGTGTGCTACATTGCATCAATTGTGATCTTAAAAAAAGGGGACTAGAACTAGTAAAGTGTGTAAGACACGCGCATGCCCCCTACCAAAGATTTTACTATAATGACTCAGTATAAACAGCATCGATACAATCAAAAACTGATGGATGCAAACCCATCTTATGCTATCATGTTACTCTCTAGATATAAGATCAGTTGAAAAGAATAGTGTGTTGCATGCTGGGAAAAGGCAAGGAAAATAGAACTAGTAGTGCCAAGGAGTGCACATGATAGTGCTTCTGAAGATACATATTTAAGTGAAACAATACCCAATAGAATCAACTCAGGAATCTTTCTCCTATGACCCTTTTTCAGCTATGCTATCTTTTCCATCATTCTCAACCGCTTGAGTTACACCAACTTCCGCAGGGCGAATAACACGATCATAAAGCATATATCCTGCCTGCAAACACAACAATAAGACATAATTTATTCATTTCTTTAATCTCCTACATAAACTACCCGACAAAACCAAGCATAAGATCACGTTCCTCCCAACTTTCAATGAAATAAAACCAAAACCCTTTGTCATGCAATCATGAATAACAAAAAAGTTTGTCACTATCATAACTTGTCGCAGGGCATTAACCAAAAACTATGTTGATGTCCAACACAATTAGATATGGCAAGAGAAATACTAGCAAAACACCTATTATTATTAGGTAAATTGCACTTGGGTCTGCTAAATAGAGTACGGACCACCATCATGAAATCAACCTAATAATAGAAAGTGTGTTGAAAAAGTGCGTTACTAGCTCCTCTGATATGCAAACAGGTTTATTTTTAAAAGAATTAACATACAGTAAGGTAATATATATTAAATAAATATTTTTACATCAGTAACTAAATTAAATTTATCCATTTGTTATAACTGCAACTATAGTCTCATGTGTTTTCTAAAGCACTTGGAAAGGATGAAAGTATGTTATTCTCTGGGATGATTCTAAGGAGCAGCAAGGAGGGTTGCAAGAGTAATATGCTTAGCGGGGTAGTGAAGGATGAGAACATGACTAGGAATTTGTATCTCATCATTTTCAAAATTATAAAGAAGATGTAGAAACAACAAAAATACAAATGCAGCAATATCTCAAAATTATCTCTAGCGAATAGAAATATCCCACCACCTTTCAAGTATGCATCCATCTTACACCAAAAATAACACATGCCACGAGTTTTTAAGGGTTGAAACAAACTTTAAAACTGGAAAAATCGAATCACAGTTGTTCCACTAAAAATTATGGATACCTTCAGAACAACTGCAACAGTTCCTGGAGGCTTGGAACCATCAGGGATTTGGAAGATGGCATTATGCCTGTGTGGATCAAAGGGCTCATTTGTAGGATCAAACTTTTCAACACCAAACTTTTTAAGTACCTGTAAGCAGAAGTAGCTAGCTTTAGAAGAGGCTGAAGGCTGAAGCACTTTACTGTCCCCAGAAGAACATTATTTCAAAGCAAACCAATAATGTGTAGTAAAATATAACTGGCAAAAAATTCATAATATGCTTATAAGTTATATAAAGTTGAGTCTGACTGTCGACCCGATGGCACAGGAATGTACTGAAGCTTTTCCCCATTCCCCATGGCAACCATAGACTCATCAAATCAAACGGTAAATTAAATATCTTAATTAAAATCTAGCCACTCTCAAATTTAGTGCATTCAGTACAAAAAACTAATTCTATTCTTTTACAACAATTTAGAAAGTAATTATAAGCAATTGGAATAAAAAAATAATTTCCAAAACGTTCATGTTTATTTTTTAAAAAAATGCCAATTGGAAAACAGAAACAAATACAAGTCCCTAATCTTCTCTCATAGTCCCTACAAATCACCCTTAGCCTCACATTACCCAATTAACCATCTATCATTACTAAACAAAACAGTTTAAATGTAAACTTAGATTGAAGAAAAGAAAGGAAAACACTTCAACTATAAAAATGACTCAACAAAAGATTGGATAATAGATTAGCTTTGACTTTTCCAATTAAACAGAAACAACAAAAAGCAGAAAAATATACCTCTGATAGTTGTTTCTCAGTCATTTCAACCCCTTGCAGAAGGGTTTTCAGCAGTTTTACAGCTTCAGAAGAGTCACTTGATGTATCAATTTTTGAAAAACTCTCCTTTACCACAGAGGAAGCTCTTCCCAAATTGTCCGCAACATCTAGTAAACTCTTTGCAAAACTCTACAGAATATTTAAAACACTCAGCACTTAGTTGAAAAGGAAATTATTTGGTACAAAAGGGCTCAAACTTAGACCTGTATGGCAAATTTTTTTGAATTATCTGCTTCACGTCTAGTCCTTTCCATGACATTCTCCATCTCTGCATACGTCCGCAAAACTTTGTCCTTCATCTTTTCAATCTCTTTGTGCTTTAACTGCACAAGTTCCTCCTTCTCCGCTACTAGTTTAATCAAATCATCCCTGGATAGATCACATTCACTCTCTGAATCTGAATCAGAATCAGAAAATGCAGTTCGTTTAATACCTCCACTTCTTCTTTTGACAGTCTGAGATTGAGAATCTGAACTAGAACCTGATTTCTCTGTTTTATCTCCAGGTTCAGTTTGTCCAGCTTGATCAATATTCTTCACCTCTTCGTTTGCTTTTGCAGGGTCATCATTTGCAGAATCTCCATTTTGTACATTATTCCCTTTTTCTTTGTCATTAGTTTCAGTTGAAGATAATGAAGAAAACCCAAGTCTTTGAGTTGATAATGAATTTATCGCTGGTGGTAATAATTTGACTTGAACTGGAATCAACTGGAACATTAGAAAGCGTATGCGGAACTTAATGAGAATTTTTAAATGCATCACTAAAATTCACTCAATAAAAACTTTAAGGAAGATAACTGAGTCCTAGAGCATAGGATAATGATAATCACCATATAATCAATTTTCGTAGTACCATTTACATATGAAGAACAAAAATTTGGACCTATCGTTCGTTCATATATAAAAGACATTTAAAACCAATTATCCTTCACATTATATTTTTAAAAAACAACAGCGATCAAGAAAGAGACGAAAAAAAAAATAATAGAAGAAGATAAAAGCACGTGAGTATCACATTACAGAATTTTTCATCAATCACATTTTCTTTGATTTCAATTAAAGAATGACTTCTTAAAAAAATTTGTCAACCATTAAATACTTATCCAGGAAAGAGAAAATACTTCATAAACCCTTGTTATTTTAATACAATACTAACTAAGATTAACAGGCTAATAAAAAATTTATTAACGCAACATAACAAAACACCCCATGATAAAACCCTGGCTAAAATGGACAATTCAAATCAAGAGCATCAAAATGACAGAAGACATTCAATTTATTTTTTTATTTTCTAAACAATAAAATGACATTCGTAAATTGCTCTCTGAGTATCTGAATTCAAAACGAATAGCTAAAACAGATTAATTACCCCCAAAAGAGACACAAAAGCAATAATTAGGTTTTATACTCTCTAATGCAACACTGAACAACCTAGTCCAACCTGCACAAATACGAATTTCTGCAATACAAGCAACCATAACCCTAATTGAAATGAATAAACTCTGAAAAATATATGCAATGTAGCTGAAACCTTATCATCGAACCTTCATCAATATAATCAATTAGGATATATATCGCCACACATGGAACCGAATTGAACCATCCATGGACACAACAAAATCGAAAGAAATAACAAATGGAACACAAAGGTAAGAATCAACTTTTAAAGGGTTAAAATAGTAAAATTTTAAGCAAACCCCTAAAACCCTGGCAAAACCCTAAAGCATAAAAAATGCAAAAAATCAAATTTTTTTTTTAGGAACCGTGGCAAAGCACCTTATTGGATGGTTGGGGAACGAGAGAATGTACTTGATTGGTGAAGATGGGTAGGTGTTGGCATCTTCGAGAAGCAGAGTGAAGTGAGCTTCGAGAAGCAGAGGTGGAGAAACGGGACAAAACCTTGTGGAAGAACATAGCTAAGGAAGTTAAACGACGAAAGAAGAAGACTTCAAAATGGATGTCCAATGCAGAGGAAAAAGAGTCTACGAGAAGCCGTGTTTATGGAAAAACAGAGAAATGGAAACGGGAAAGTGCTTACAGAGGAGAGAGGAACATCCATATGAGTTTATGGACTATATCGCCCTTACGTTTTACTTCGATGGAAACAACCTTGGGTTGAGGTATTTTTTTTTTTTTTAGTTTTTATTTTTAAATTACAAAGATGTAAATTCTTTTGGTAAAATTATATTTTATAATTTTTTCTAAATTGCCATTCACAATTTTTGCAATTTATCTGTTTTTTATATATTTTTAAATATTTTATTATTATTTTAAATATTATCATTGACAATTTTAATTTTTTATACTTCATCACTTTTTTTTAAAAAAATTTATCACTAAAAATAGTAATTTTTCAACTTCATATGTTCATAACTTTTAAAAAACACTATATTTTATTATATATAATTTTGAAATATTTTTATATATCCTAACGTAAAAGTAGTTAAAATTTTTTATGATAAATATATTTTATATTATAATAAGAATCTTTATTATTTAATTTGTTACAGAAATTTACCAAAACAATCTTGACATAATGCAATTTAAGATTTAATTTATTTTAAAAATAAGTATTTATTTCAATAACTTTGTAAAAAAAAATTAAAAAGTAAATAATCATTTTTTAAAAATTAAAATAAAATTTTAAATATATTATATATTATAACAAAAAATTGTGCTATATTATTAAATGTGTCATGTCAATGAATATTAGTTTGAATAGCAAACAGTTTAGTATTAATTAAGTAAAGTTTTGAAAATTTTCAATAATAAATTTATTCATATATTCAAATGTGTGACTCAAATAAGATCCAAATTAAACCAAATAAAAAAAAATGCTACATTACATCAGTATTGTTTACTTTAATATATATATATATATATATAATAATAATATTTTTCACTTTTGATAATATAGTATGTAAAATCTAAAATATACTATTACATATTAAAAATAACTGCAAGTGTAAATAGTTTCATTTGAAAATACAATATTCATTATATTAAAAATATAAAATTTCCACTGGATAGAATATCTTAATATATGATAAATAAATGATTAAGAATTTTAAAGAAAAGAGCTTATGAATAAGTTATTAAAAAAATTGACTTTGATAAGTTATTTTCAATGTATCATTTCTTTAAGACAATGATATCCGAAGGACGTAATCTCAAATTCCATGTTTAAATAAACAAGTTGGGCAGTAAACCAAGATTCAAACTTCAGCAAGCAATACACATTTCCCTGACAAGAAGACCAACCCATTTTTCATCATCTTTAGCTGCATTGCACACATAACAAACTTGAGGCAAAGGAATAATTGTGTTTTCCTTTTATTTTCGGTCTTGAAACCATTTCGTTGATGACAAAAGATACGGAAGTACAAAATACAAATATTGAACAATATAACTCTCTACTACGGAAGAGCCGGCACCGGATGACACATTGCATAAAGATCCCATGATGCGGGTTCATTACAAGAAGAGCACGGAAAATTTGTATGCTACAACTGTCCTCCAACTAATCTAAATATCTAATTATATCACTGACTTAATTCTTCATAAGTTTAATCATAGGGATTCCTAAAATTCTTCAAGAGATTAGGAATGTCATAACCTAGCATGTCATCAACCGCTTGTATCATTTTTGGTTTCAGTTTTTCAAACTTGTCAAAATTGTAACCACTCAAAATCTCTCTGAAATGCTCAACATTTGGGAAGTCCCCAGGAGGTAAATGGAACTCTCTTTGTACCTGTTTTGAATTGAATTTGACGGTCATATATATGCACTTTAAGTACTGTCAGAGACAAGCAGGTAAGCAGAATGGATGTACAGTTTGATTCATACCTTTCCAAATTCACCTGCCAAATTATCAATGAGCTTTTGCTGAGCTTTAGCTTTGCCCATCATAGCAGGCATTTCCTTTTTAAGATGACTGATAATGTAAGCATGAATCTTGGCTGCCCGGGCTCGTTTTACAAATTCATTGATCTGTAATAGTCAATATATACAAATGATACATTAATTATGCAAGGTTACTTCAATAAATTAATCATAAACTGGATGCTGAAATAGAAGAGATAAATGCCTACAAAAGGCAAATATATAATCTATGCCACAGCAAAAGGAAATTCTATGGTACCAAACTCGTGCATGGACAAAATGATCCTACAAGAGCGGACAATATTAGTTTTTTCAATTAACTTCACAAAAAAAATTCTGATCAAAAGACTTACTATATCGACTATGTCAGCTATCTTTTAATCTTCATAATTTATTTGCTAACACGAGCATGAAAGCCTAAATAATCTCATTTTAGTGCAAAACTATTAATATGATAACCAAAATAAATATATTAACTCACTCTTCGATCACAAGCCGCTTTTGGTATATCTTTCAGATCTGAAAGGAGGTCATCCTGTTCCTTTTCAAAGAGTTCTTTACCAATTGGACCAGTAACAGCATCACTTACAGGCTTGTCATTGAAGGAGCTGCCAAAAGATAGTTAATTAAGCACAAAAGAACATGTGGAAATCTCATAAACAGGGAAACGGAAGACAGTTATATCATGTCTAAATTGCAAAGAGCATAGTAAAAGGTGGGGGACCAAAAAAAGATGTCTTCCACCACAAAAATAGCATTGACGTCCAAAAAAAGACTGAAAAAAAAGATCGTAGAAACAAAGCAGTGTCTCTCCAGCTCTCACGTCAAAGACAACACTTTAACATTTGAGAGTGGAGTTCATGCACATACGTAAAGTGACATACCCAATATACACACGCGTTACTTCAGGTGTCTTTAGCACTTTCCCAAGTGACCACATCAAGGCTCCATAAACCCTCATCAGCTGCAACATGGGGCCAAATATAGGACAGATTTCACCAGGCCATCTTGTGAAAGATCCATCAAATAGAGAAATAGAAGTTTGACTATGCAAGCTCTTACTTGTTGAGTATCAACTTGGTCTGCCTTGTTCAAAACCACTCGAATTTTGTCATCATGCCCCCGCAAGGATGATATCACACGATTGAACTCATCACTTATGTCAAGTTTGTGAGGATCAAACAGAAGCAGTATTAAATCACACTTAGCAGCAAACCAAGATGTTACACCTGTAAAATCATATGCCCTTTGTGTCCGTTGCTTTTCTCCAGATAGAACTCCAGGAGTGTCCACAAATGTGATGTGTTCCAGAAGCTTCGGACAATTGAAAAATAGTTAAGTTCTATAAAGGAAATCTCATAAACATTTTCTAAAGGCTCTAGATCAACTTACAGGATGAGGCATTTGTGAGCACTCAAATTTTGACAAAAATGCTGTGCCAAAAGTTGTAAGACCACTAAATGGCATGTTTGCTTGGACAGCAACAGTATTTCCAGGAATGCTCCTCTCATCAGGTCCAGACTGTACATTGGTATTTGGTACCATTAGCTAGTTAGAACTAATGCAATAACTTATATACCAAGAAAACTATAATAAATCAAATCATCAAGTCTTGACACTAATGCTACAGTACAAATTACTGAGTTTCATGGCCAAATTTTAGATATTCCACACTACCAAGCACAAACATAGGGCAATCTCCAAAATATAAAGAACACAAGACATGGCACCATACATAAATATATGTGAAAGGATGTGCATTTGCACATTTGCAAGTCAAATGAAATTAAAAAAGAGTAACGTAACAAAATATCTTTAATAATTTGATTTTTTATCGAGTCCAATGGTATCATGTGATCTATGTAGTTAACCTCACATATGGGGATAAGACTTTTGTTATTATTGTTGAAATGTAACAAAATATATAAATTAAGAATCAAAATGTATATATTCACCTTCTCAAATAACTTGCTAAGCTTTAATATTTCCTATGATAATAAAGCCCCAACATTATTTTACATTTTCCTCAGAGAAGTTTCTTATAGCATTTAGAATCATTTAAATATTTTATTATACGTTTTTATATTTTTGTTTTCTAAACCTTAATTGTTTTTTACACAATAATTTTTTTAAACAGCCCTGTCCTTTGAAGTGTCAGGCCATATTCATGCCAGCTGAATGACCAAACCATGTCTAGTGTGTCCTATTGGTCAAAAGTTAATTTTTTTAATTAGACACTAGTCCAATAGTGTCCAACATGTGTCATACAAGTATCAAAGGAATGTTAGTGTTGGAGTCATGAGTGACACTCCAACACTGCAAGAAATAGCGGCATTGGTGCTTCATAACTTTCACCAAGAAGTTGAATCTCATCAAGAATAACAAGTCAAATTGTGTAAGCATAAACCTGAGAAAACATTTAAGGTATTAAACAGTCATGAAAGAAACTAATTTGACTGACACATACCATGACAACAACAAACCTGTCAGTTGTAGGCTCAGGTCCAATATGTGCTCCTATTAGCAATTATGAGGAAAACAAGACAAAAATTAGTAACATATAGTTAAAAAGAAAGTATTAAAAGAAAAAGTAAATGCATTTAATATCTTAACATAAAAATCATTTAATACTTTCCTCATTTAGTAAGTAGAAGGATTAGGAGAAAGTTGTGGGAGGACTTAGAATTATGTATTCATAAATCAGATATAAGCAGTGCCACAGATATACATATATGGATATAGAGAAAGGAGAATCACGTGCCTGGATAGCTACTTTTAAGCAGATGTTTGATAAATGTTGTTTTACCAGTTGAGTACTGACCCAAAAGCATAACCATTGGTTTGGCATCAAAATCACTATTTGTCTACAATATGTAAGGAATTACAATCAATAAAGAAACTAATTGTGTATCTATGCCATATTGAAAACATAGAAACATAACGGCATTAAGAAAATGACAGCAGTAAATATGTAGTAACCAGTTATTTATAAATAGAATAGCTTACTGACCAGTAATGGGGATACAAAATCATTAAATCGGTAAGTAACTTCTAAAGGCTTCAACTTCTGAATGTAGAGTCTCTTCAAGCCATCAATTATTGATGTCACAGAGGAAAGAGGCACCTATGGACATATGTACCCAAATTTCAAGGAAAAAACCTATAAAAAATTGACAAGTTTATAGAACTGGAACCAGCAAAGAAGTAACAAGCACAGATAAAAGGTTCTAGAGGACATGTCTACACTAGAGGATGGCCCCAGGGTACAGTAAACTTGATTTATGCAACATCAGCAACTAAATGAGATAGATGCAAGGGAAGATGCATATTTTGTAAGCCCAAAAGAAGAAATTAGATAACAACAATTTTAAACCAACATCAATATTCACCTGTGGAGTATCAGGCACATCACATTAGTATTATCGGCCTATATCACTTAGACAGTTACGTTGAAATCAATAATAAGATTGGTTTCAGGGCGCTATAATAATTACCTAAATATATTTATTTCATCATCTTAAAAAGAATTACAGAGCAACTGAACCATACTCTGGCATGTATATGTCTCAAGATCATGATGACACTAAATGAAACCAGAACGAAATAAAGCAGGTAAAGAATGCAAATCAAGCTGGTCATTAGTTGAAAACTTGAAATGAATATACAGTATGTTTTCTAGTGGAAGGTAAGGATGATGCTCGCAAAATCAAACAATATAACAGTAACAGAATGCTTACCTTTTTTGTTGACTTTGAAGAAAACCAATTACTTGATAGTGATGTCTCCAATTGAGAACTACCTGAATTATTGCTAATTAATTAACTTGGATTTTCAAGAGAAAGAAAGAAAGGAAAAAAAAATCAATATGAATGCCCATATTCAATGAAATGAGAAATATATTACCATTTACATCAACCTCTTTTTGTTTGTGCTTTTTCTTCTGGATAAACAAAGTCAAACAGTAAGCACTTAAACTAAATAAACATAAAAATGTTAAACACTGGGCAAAGAATTAACCATGTAATGAAATACTTACAACTAGTAATGCATCCAAACCCTCCATTGTGGGAGGTTTCAGATTTTTAAAATCAACTGAAATAAAAATTAAGCTTTCATTAGGTAAAATCTATATGAAGATATTCATAATCAACTTATGCAGACAAGCACAGCACCACCAATGTGCATTACAGACTAATACAATGATAAAAAAAATCATCCAAACAAAGAAATAGAAGAAAAAACCAAACATAAATAACTTACCATCACTAGTCAGCAGATCATTTGTTATTGAGTGCCCAGATTGTGCTAAAGAAACTAACTACATTTCAAATGCATCAGATTTTGGAAAATTATCACCAATAAACTTCAACAAAGCATAACACATTTTTACCTGCATAGCAATGATAAATTCTGTGAAACCAAGATACCCTTGTCGCTTTGAATCAGCAATAGCCCACACCTTATTTCGACAACAGGAGCAAACAAAGCAACACCTTAGTTAACAATATAGAAAGAAATAAGACAACACAAATATTTATCAGCAAGTATAACATATGTCAACAACTCAAAATTAAATGCCAAAACCATTACAGTTGTTAGAAATAAAACAGTTTCAAGGGCACCTTTACATGAGGTGAAATTGTAAGAGTTCAAAATTAAACATTATCATGAAACATTTAAGTACCACATCATAAGAGTAACTAAAATATTTCACTAGCAAATAGCAATAAAGTTTTTTAAAGTCTAAATAGTTGACACTATAGTTCACTAACAGTATAATATTCTCTATACCCTACCAGCATCAGTTCAGATTTCAATCTGAAGCAAAAAATCAAAACCAATGTAGGTATTGGATAACCTACGATTCATTCCCACATATCAAAGGTCAAATTGGTTTAAGGCCGACAATTAAGTTTGATAATCAGAGATAAAAAAAAAAATAGAGAGGGATTTAAGATAGAAAGGACGGATGAAGTTCAAAGTTCATCAATGCATGCTTGATAGCGGATATAGAGAAGACATGAAAATTGAAAGTAAACAACATATTGATACTTACTGTTTGGAACGAAATTGTAAATAAATATACATTACAATTACACAAATCCACGAAGTTAACGAAAATAGGGCCAACTCATAAAACCATATTGCACTGCAAGTTCCCTCCAATTTCACCTCACTTTATTTCATCCATAAGGAAAACAGAATAAGATTAGGTAAGGCATGCTAACAATGCCCAACTTCAATCACTTTTCTCTTTATCCCCTAACTAAGCAATCATATCTTAGATTTTTCGCTCATGATTCCAATTACATCCACTTTCACTCTTCCCAATTCCTGCCTATACTCAATCCAAAAAGAGCGAACATAAGGAAAAACGGAAAATAGAAAGAAAACCTGCTTAAGATTCTGGCGAGACAAACTGGACATGGCGAAAAACTTAGTAGCATCACTCCCCGTAATGCGGCCATCACCATCTGAAAAACGAAGTGTACGGTGAAATTTGTAAGAAGAACAGAACCAAAAAAAAAGCAAAAAAAAAATAAAAAAAAATCAATCAAAGACGCGGTGCACCTGAATCAGCATAATTGAACCACTCCTGGTAGATAGTTCGGTGGTCTTTGGAGCACGAACCGATTGGGATCGGATCGAACTCCATTAATCCCAGAAGAGCTTCTAAATCGCGGTTTGAGATTCTCGTAGCGTTTCAGATGTTCCGCTTTAAACTTTAGTGAACAGAAAACGTGAGTGCTATACGACGATTAAGAGTACCATCAGCGGTGCCGTATGGACGATAGAAAGCAGAGTTGGCGCAATTTGGCGCAAAATGGTGCTTTAACCAACCTTGTTTTGTTTAACAGATATGAAGTAGAATTGGGAGTTTCGTCTAAATGAGGTAAGAAATAAGAATTTACTCACTTCTTGTCGTACTCTGCACTCACCCTTGCTCGCTGATTCGGATTGTCAAATGGAGGTTTGTGTCTCCCCCTCTCTATTCATCTTTTTTATTTTAATAAATCTTTTTGGGTCTTCTAAATTAATTTGACTATCTCGGGAAAATGTTTGACTCGTTTATAGAGAATTACTTATCACTCATTACTTCATTTTTATCTTATACTATTTTAATTTTACAATTTAACCATATCAATTATTAAAATTTCTTATTATGTTAACAAATCAAATTGATATGATCTTTTCTTATGTTATCATATACTTCTTCGAGTTCAATTTCGGCCCAAAAAGAACAAAATTCGAATTATATAAGAATCAAGCTTAATCCATCTTATGCTCACCCCTGACCATTGCCATCATCATATTTTCTCAAACTGTCATTTTCAAAGAATATATACACGAAAAGTGAGAGAACTATTAAATAATAGCGTAACATTGATTTAAATTAAAATATTTATAAACTTAACATATTTTTAAATTAACATCCTTTCTTTGAGAAATTAGTATAATTTTATTCTATACACGTCCCTACTCCAGATTTTTTTGTATATAATCATAGATCAAATGATAGGAAGATAATTGGGCTAAATAGCCCAAAGCATAACAATATAAACCCGAAAGGTAGCCCATAAAAAAAAAAACCGAAAGTCCCGAGGGATGTGTTACTGAATGTAATAATGCAGATCTTTGATTTCCAAGCGCCAGAGCTTTTCCTAACTTCACCTCACTCACCTCGTTCCGTTCTTTTTCTTTTTTCTTTTTTCTTTTTTTTTCTCATTTGAGATCCACGCTGTGTTTTCTTCTCTTACACTCACAGGTACTCTCTCTTTGGATCTGTTCATTTTCTAACTAGATCTTCACATTTTCGTTCCTTTCATCCTTTTGTTTGTTAATTTCTGGGTTTTTCGAATTGCTTGTTGCGTTTCTTCTGCCATTCTGTAATCTCATCCATAATCGGTCCTCGCCGCCAATTTTTCTATCTTTAACGTGGGATTGGGATTTCTCCGCAACATTGTGAGCGTGGGAAAATAGGGTTTTTGAATATTATTATTTTGGTTCCTGCATTTTTTGAATTGTTCTTAAAGCTTGAATAATAAATAGCTGCTTGGTTGAATTGAAGCTAGCTTCTAGTTGTGTTAGGAAAATTATATATTTTTAGATTTTACTGAATGTTGCTGTCTGATTTGAGATGGGTTTTACGACATTGGGAAGAGAAATTAAACACAGATTTTAGTTTAGTTTAGTTTCATTTGCAAAATGTTTACTTGGAGCTAACTGTTCAAATGGGGAATGTGTTGATTGCAGAAACATGCCTGCTCAAAAGGTTGAAACGGGTCATCAAGATACGGTTCATGATGTTGCAATGGATTACTATGGCAAGAGGCTGGCTACAGCCTCATCTGATCACACCATTAAGATAATTGGGGTTAGCAACACGGCTTCTCAGCATCTAGCAACGCTCACTGGTCACCAAGGACCCGTTTGGCAGGTGGCGTGGGCTCACCCTAAATTTGGATCTCTACTTGCCTCGTGTTCATATGATGGGCGTGTTATTGTATGGAAGGAGGGTAACCAAAATGAATGGACTCAAGCTCATGTCTTTGATGAACACAAGTCATCTATCAATTCAGTGGTTTGGGCGCCTCACGAGTTGGGTCTTTGCTTGGCTTGTGGTTCATCGGATGGGAATATCTCGGTGTTCACCGCGAGAGCAGATGGTGGCTGGGACACTTCAAGGATTGACCAGGCTCACCCTGTTGGTGTCACTTCTGTGTCGTGGGCTCCATCGATGGCACCTGGTGCGCTTGTAGGTGCTGGATTGCTTGATCCTGTACATAAGCTATGCTCAGGTGGTTGTGATAATACTGTGAAGGTATGGAAGCTGAACAATGGACTTTGGAAGATGGACTGCTTTCCTGCTCTTCAGATGCATACAGATTGGGTTCGAGATGTTGCTTGGGCACCCAATTTGGGACTTCCCAAATCTACGATTGCTAGTGCTTCCCAGGATGGTAAAGTTATTATTTGGACTGTGGCCAGGGAAGGAGATCAATGGGAAGGCAAGATTTTGAACGATTTCAAGACCCCCGTTTGGAGGGTTTCATGGTCATTGACAGGAAACATATTGGCTGTGGCCGATGGGAACAACAATGTTACATTATGGAAGGAAGCTGTAGATGGAGAGTGGCAACAGGTGACCACTGTGGAACCCTAGGATCTGATATTTGAAGTCTTGTTTGTTAATTTGAGATTATGGTTAGAAATTTCTTAAAATATAATTGACATCTTGTTTCTTCGCATATTATACAGTTGAGCAATTGTGCTTTGTAATGCCATTACGTCCTTAGAACTTTGTGATCCAATGAACATTCTGTGCTTGCAAGAATTAAGTTGATTAGCCTGATTTGTTTTTTCCTTTATACATGATAACGATTCTGTGGTTGAAGTATATAGTATGACCAAAAATGTGACATTTAATTAGATTTTTGGATCTCTATCATGTGAATTGCATTAATTTGTGGCCGTTGCATTCAATTTTTGGACACATGATTTATAACTACTGGCGCATATCTGGGAAGTAACCTTGTCTTAAGGATAAAGCTCCTCTAAATGAGCTTGTCTATGAAGTGTACAAGGGTGTCCCTCTACCCCTGAATTTTAGTGGGTTAGGTTCACAGTATACGTTAAATTAAATCAATAGTGGATATACCTTAATTGTTTTGTGCACTTTGGATACAAACGCACTTTAGATGATCACTATCTGTATTATACAATTCATTATCTCCGTACTTCATAATGCTTGAGGTTTGCTTCAGTTAAAGGTGGATTAAACAGGAAGGTAAATCGTATAACAAAAGAATAATACCATTTGTATAAAATTTTCACATACACGTAATTCAATAGATAACACATTGATGTAGTTGTATCGTTTTTTGAACGCTTCAAGTTGTTCATATACCTCATTGGCCCCATATTCAATCTTGTAAGCTAAACGAATTTTAAATCTAGTGTATTCATGTGACAAGCATCTATATTTTTCTTGTAGAATGAACACTGTTTAAGTAAACCATTCATTATTACTTCATGACACATCAGATATTTAACGGTGATTAAAATGAAATGAGATGAAACAAATTGGAGTGGAGTAGAATAAGATGGAACGAGGTTACCTTTTTTATAAAGCGAAATAGCGCAAGGTTTTATGCCGTTCTATTCGGTTGGGAAGGAAAAAAAGAGCTATATTCAATCGAATGAGATCATTCTAAGTTACGTTCCATTCCATCCTATTTTAAATATCCAGACATTGAAACTTAAGATCATTCTTTTTCATTTTGCTTTGTTCCATCTTTTTTATCAATCCGGAACATAGGCCTAGGAAATAGGAACAATATTCGGCAAAGTAACAAGCATGCAACGAGTTCAACACACTCCATGACATTTTTCTTTCTCTTTTTGTTATCACGGAACCTTTTTCCCTTCTTGAATAGAGATAAAACATCTTTGTCGCACTTGATAGAAATTGTCAGCCTATGGAAAATATGACACCCCAAGAAAAAAAAATGTTTCATGGTCCAATTCCTTTGTTATTTGCTGTAGCAGACATAATTATTGCCGATCATAATAATAGTTTCCACATCCGGATAAATTACACATTTCTATTTTATAACTATTTGTTATGATAGTCGATTCGCTTTTCCTTTCTTCACTTAAAATCTCTATAAATAGTTATAAAAAAAGATTGAGAATTGCTTACCATGTTTCGGTTTTTTCCTCTTGGGTATTCGTATAATTTATGAAAAAGGATAGTGCTTTACTGTATCTTGTTTCTCTCTTTCTTTTTTAATTGGGGGAGGATAAATTGCCCCACAACGGAACACGATAGCAGTCACAATTGGACATAAAATATGCACGTCGGTTAACAGTTTTCAAGATTCAAATGATATGCAACGAGTAAAACTTCTATTTTTATTGAACTCGATGAAATCGTGTGCAGATACTACATATATAAAACACGTGTAAGGTTACAAAATACTTTTAATATATATATAAACGAGAGAGGAAGATAATGCTAAGATGAACCTCTTGATATAAGCAATTTCAATTGCATATCACTTCACACATAAACATATACTATACATATAATTTTCAAGTAGGATAAGCTTCTTGAAATAAAATCACACATACCAACATATATAATCTTTCTTGCCTGAACAAGCTCCGCATGCATTAACAAGAGAAATATTGAATAATGTTATTGTCGAAAGTGCTGATAAATACATCAAGGATGCTGATTAAAGAATCAAAATGAAATAGCATTACTAATATACTCTCACGTCACCATAATTTTTAATTACCCTACCGTGATTTCTAATAAAAATAATTAAATTGTTAATTCAGTGTCCTTAAGCACTCGCTAAACAGACCCTATTAATATTAAGAAATCTGTAAGAGTCAACATGAAACAAATAGCCTCGGGAACGGACCGATCAAAGAGCAAAGCTCGATTAATAGCAAAGAGTGAACTCTTCTGCTTTTGTGATTGAAGCTCCAATTGCCCCTCCTCTTCGCTTGCCATTAATACCATTCAAATTTTGAAATAATCATTTATTAAAATTACCGAACAAGACCAGCAAATTTTTAAATATATACCAAAAAACTAATAACTCTATAAGGCATGTATAAGATTTATTTGGAATGAAAAGAATTGATTTCAATAAGTAAGCCAGATTAGTTTCGATAGATAAAAGCCATAAAGAAAGATAAATTTTGAAGACCAATTGATTAGTTATTCAATTTCTTTATATCTTGAGCATCTCAAATGTCTATAGCATCATAGTTACTAATAACTACTAGATAGTAATTTGTTTCTTTTGTTACCAAAGAAGAAAAGATTGTCTTTAAATTTACCATATCGTGGCGATAGCGTTTGGATTGCGTGTATGAGCATGTCACGGGCTTGAAAATCCTTAGTGGGACATGTTAATCGGGCCACATAGTTGTTTCTTGAAACAGGTCTATATAATGCAAATGGAGGGCATGATAGATAATATGTTTGTGGACCACAAATCCCTGCCAGCGTCAACTACTTTTTCTACACTTAGTCCCCACTTGCCCTCACCCCAAATTTCAGGGTAAGACAATAGTGGATGAAACAAGGCACAATGGCACATACTTGTTCAACCTTGAGAATAATGCCCGCAACTAAGAGGTGGTCCAAACTTAAACAAACACTTCCTATTAAGAAATTCAGATACCTACCCTTGCCTCTAATCACAATTCAATGCATTTCAGAACACAATTCCTATAGCCAAATCCATTATTGCAAATCTTAATCTAAAGAATGAATCGATTATGGGTGATGGGCATCAACCGGTTTTGTTCCATCTAATGACCATACTTTTATTTCCTTCTTTTATTTTGGTAAAATAACGCTGCCCAAAAGCCTAGTCATATTGTTTATCCGTTTAAAAAAAAACCAAGTTCTTAATCTTCTAAGACAGCTTCATATACAAATATTAGTGGGCTTACAATCACATAGCATTAAACAAGAGGAATAAGATAGACATCACACAAATGACACAATTATTGTTTTTCCTTTATAGCTTGAATGTAATTGTAATGGAGAGAGACAATCAAGTTAAAAATCAAAGGGAGAAGGATGATTTGAAGGGAACTTATTACTGAGATCTCACTAATTCATGGTTCCCAAATTTCTTCCACAAGTAGTATCTCAATCAAAGGTCACATTTGTGTGGCGTTAATCAATCCCATAAAGAGATATTGCATATCATTGCTAGACAAGGAAATAAGTGGCAAGGTGAAGGGCACCAAGGTTGGCATGCAAGAATGGTTAGGCCTCAACATAGAAGTGGATACAATAGAGGCCTCTAATGAAGGGTCACTTCAAACGGAGAGTGCGCGTTTAGGTTGGCGTTAGTTGTTGCGTTGACTTTTCAGAAATCCTTACTATTGCATCTTATTATTATTATCTATCCTCACTATTGAATGAAAACAAACACAAGAACAACCTATCATTCCCGCGGTTTCTACATGCGTCACGTTGGTTTCATTAAGTGTGGGGTAGGAAAGGGAATATGCAAGGAAACCCGAATTTCTTTCACGCAAACACCTTCTATAAACACAACACCTTCCTCTCTTTGGATTTTCCGATCACCATTCAAAGAGGAACCACAAGTTAGAAGAGAAAGAGGACAAAGGCATCATCATTCAAACTTTTCTAACATAGTGTTCCACTAAAGAACGTTAGGTCAGATCGCTAAAATTTAATGACAAAACCAACAATCATGGAATTGCGATTTGTCGATACTTTTCTTACACAACCTAATTTACGGCGTTACAAGCCATTATTTCTAAGAAGAAAAACGTCACAAAAGAAAAAAAGAAATCATTTTTCCCGGTCCAATCATTCACACCCTAAGTCTAAATCACCCACGCTGCCAAACAGCTTGAGTACCATTGGAGGCAAAATGATAGTTCTTTTCCTGTTGCAATTGCTCACAAAATAAGTAAAGGTAGGAAGAAATAATCACCACCTACATCACTCACCAAACAAAGTTCCCTTTGGAACCTCTCTGCTTAGACTTGGTCACAAGGGTAAGGAAATAAAATTAATAAAAACATGAGAACTACAACAAAACCTATGGTACCTACACGAGAAACTATGTTTCCCCTCATCATCTAAACATTCATTTCCACCAAAAATCATCCAAATGCAAAGTATGCAATGAGTTCTAACATTGCAATGACGAAATTAAGACATAAAAACAGCCAAAACAAAAATAGAAACCAAATTACCCAAAAATAACGAGGAGAACTAACCAAATCTAACAAGGTTAGAACAACACTGAATTTGTTTGTTAACTAGTATTATACATAGACACAGAGAAGAGTATCCGTGAGAATTAGAGAGTAAGCAACCCAAACCAACATTAGATACCCACAACAAACCCCTTCCATATCCATAAACACATCCTTCAACAATCAGATCATAATTACTTCCTCCATTTTTTTTCTAACTTTAATATTTCCTTTTAGATAAAATTAAAAAAAGAAACGAAAAGCTCGGAATCATCCTCTCACAGAATTAAGATCATATTACCATAATCTTACATCTGATCATCATCATCATCATCATTTTAATTTTTTTTCCGCATGGCAAGAAAAAAAATAACAAAAAATCAAGTGGAGAAGGGTAAAAAAATAAGAAATTAAAAATAATTTGCGCTAGGAGCAGCATCAGAGGCAAAGCGCGGTGCATCGAAGATCGTTATCGTTAACATCGGCACGAGCATCGTCATCATCAAAAGGCAGCGCATTGAGATCGAAAGGCAAGGGGGGCCGAAACGACGACGAAACAATGTTATTATCTCTGTCGTCTAATACGGAGGAGGAGGAGTCACAGTCGCTGTGGCAATCTTCGGGAACAACAGGGGGTGTCCGAGGGTACCTGCGAGTGGCAGTCAAAAACGGCGTCGCAGAAGGAGGCTTAACGGAGTGAGGGCGGGGCCCACTGAAGGACTCGACGGTGCTACTCATGCCGCTAGAGGTGGGTCTCTGAGGGTTGTTAATGTTATGAAGGTTGCTGTGTTGGTCTTGAAAACCGTTGTAGAAGAAGGGATCGGTGGTTGGATGATGGTAACAGAAGGGTGAGAGAGGGAAATTTGTTTTAGCTTTGGGACCTCGGAGACTCCTAGCGGCTGCGTCGTAGGCTCTAGCAGCTTCCTCCGCGGAATCGAAGGTTCCTAACCAAACCCTCGCTTTCTTCAAAGGGTCTCTGATCTCTGCTGCGAATCTCCCCCATGGTCTCTTTCTCACGCCACGGTAACGAGGCTCCTTTAAAACGTTCCTCGCACCGGATCCGTCAACCTCCGCCGCCGCAGTAGCTGCGGCAGTGGCTCCTCCTCTGCCCCTCCTCATCTGAAGTGAAAGGAAATCGAAACACCCAGATTCACCCGACACAAAAAGGTGCAGTCTTTGGACTCAGAGAGACATTTCAGGGTGTGAAATATTAATGGGGTTTGATGGCTGTTAGGGAGATGGATGAGTGTCTAAGATGATGAATATAGATAGAGAGAGAGAGAGAGTTGGAGGCGGTACCACCTTCTCTTCTTCTTCTTCTTCTGCTCCTTCAACTACACACACAAAAAATATATTAATAATAATAAATGGATGACAAGCGTGTTCGCTTCTTTCTTCTCTCTGTGGGTTTCTCTGCCTCTCTCTGTCTCTAATGCCATTTTCTTTTCTTTTTTTCTTTTTTTTTTTTTTCTCGATTTCTTTACCTTTCTGCCTTCCTTCACAAACTCACCTCCTGTCTTGCTTTCTTTATCCCCTCCTTTATCTTCTACTTCTCTTTTTTGTCATTTTACCTTGTTTTTTTAATATTTATTACAAACTAGGAAGAGTGAGTTAAGGACTTAAGGTTAAAGAGTGGTCGTGTAATGACGATAAGGCCCTTGTGGTTTCTTGGGGTAAATTTGCCTTTGGTTGGTTGGTGTACTTTTGTTCTGGTGAGGTCACTTTCATGATATCATACCTCTCTCTCTTTTTTTTTTTTTTGGCTTTTTCAGTGGGCACACGCAGAGTGGTGAAACGCACAGCACAGGGGATCTTATCTGTATCTTAAATCTTAATAAATGAATAAAATTTCCTGCCTGTGAAGCAATAGATTTCGATTTTGTACAGATTTTACGCCAATTTGTAATAATCTAAATAAATTTTTCTTCTAAAAAAAAAGTTTGTTTGTATTTTCTCTTCAATGATTTTGGCTGAGGGAGAAGGAGTTGACTGTGAGATGCGTGAGTGGCATTCATAGCCGGCCAAATATTTTCAATAGCAACTTTATTAATTAGTGGCGTGAACCAACTTTCGTTTAAAATAAACAGCGTGTAACCGCCTGTGTGAACCATTCATATCTGTTTTCTAACACTATAATATCTTTATATGTAATTCTATCAATTATTGGTCACTGTTATATGGCGAGAAAAAAGTGGTCAAAATAATCAGACCAGTAAGTTCTTTAATTAATTTTAATAGCCTTCGTTTTAGATTCAAAACATTGATTTTAATTTTAACATTTTTAATTAACTTTAATAGATTCCAGTGTTTAAGGATTATATTATCAATTTAGTAAAATTGCTTCTTCATGTTGTATTTGTTGGTGAGGCTAAGTAACTTTATTATTAAAAATTGTATGATTTACATTATTAATACTTAAAATTCCATTTTTCTTTTCCAAAGAAACGGACGAGTAAAAATAGTGCCTTTTTATTGTGATTATAGTTTTATTAAATTAAATTAAATAATTATTATTATTATTATTATTATTATTTCTTCGTCTTAAACTATAAGTCAACTTTAAAATATTAATAAAATAGTTAATTCTAATAAAAATAATGATAAATAAAAAATAATTTTATCAAAATTTTAGATCCAATTATAAAAATTAACATAATTGCAAATTAACATGTCACTACGTGTTACCCAATTTTAAATCAGGGTTGATATATTTTGCATGTAATTTTATTAAAAATAGTATATTACTGCATATTATGAAGTATATATCTTTAAAATTATAATTCATAAATTTACTACTTTAAATTAATTTGATACTCACCTTTGTACCTTTTCGTGTTTTTTATTCTATAATTTTTGTGGTTATATAATTTAATAAAACAACTGTGCAACATAAGATTTATTTAAGCAAACAAATAGACTAAAATTTTAAATATTTACTTACTTTTTTTCTAGTCAAACAGACTAAAAGTTGATCCAACTTAATTGAGTTTAAATTGAATTAAATTTTAATTAAAGATTAAATAAGTGAAATGATACCTTTTTTTCTTAAATAGCAGTACATTTTTAGTTACATTTTATTATGTGAATAGTACGTGTAACATTTACTAAAATAAAGATATTTAAAAAGAAAAGAGAGAGAATAATGGATGTTTATATGCTCACTCATTTCACATGACCCCATTAATTTCTTTTTCTTTATATCATTTATTCCTTGGTATTCCCTCCAACGCATGATTGAGCCTAACTTTCAAAAAATGTAAAATGCTTTCCCCATCTATGCCCCTACATCCTTCTCCAATACTCTCTAATATACACACAGAGGGAAAAGAAAGTAGTCCCTCTATTTTAAATTAGAAAAATATTAATAAATACCCAGTATGTAACTTAAAGACAGTTAAATAATTTTAAAAAGTAAAAACACACACATCTTCTTTTAATTTTAATACAGTGTAATGTAATTTCTATTTTCTATTAGCATAATAAAAATTAAAGTTTAACTTATTTTCAAGAGTTGGTTTTTTTTTTAATTATATAGTCTTAAAAAATATCTTTATTGTATTTTAAACTGATATAAAATATCTTAATATTGAGAGTTATTTTATTAAAAAAATTTTACCATGTGCAACAATGTGCATAATTAAAAAATTATATAAAAAAAGTTGTTATAAAACTATTTATAATATTCAAAACAATCAATGCATTAAGCAACATTAAATTATGTCATTTTTAATAAAGATTTATTATATATTTTTTTTATCTTCTATAATATTGCATGAATTGAAAAAACATTATTAAAAAACTATAAAAATCTTCTATTAAAAAGTTATATCATACATCATTTTAATATTTTAATGAAGTCATATTTTTTTATTTTAATTATGCTTCAATTGATTAATGAAATTACTGTACCACTGCCTCTGGTCCTAAATATAAATTTGCTTAAAGAATTTTTATAAGGATATCTTTAATGGAAACAAATTAATTAATTAGATCGAAGAAAAATAAGATAGCATGTCTCAATAATTTTAAAAAATGACACAAATTATTGATGACATTAATGTCACTAATTAAACTAACTATGTTTCTTAAATTTTGTGAAGTAATTAAATGCGTATTCCATTTAAAATTAAAAGTAATAATTAAGATGTTTACTACTTTCTTTAATCGTCATCTAAAAACTTTTAAAACTTTATTTAAGAGTTAAAAAAGCAGTTAAAAAATATGAAAGAAAAATAAAATAAAAAAGATAGAACATTTTACTTTTCGTAGATGAAAGAGAAAATTAAACAAAATAAAAAATTAAAAAAATATTATAGAACCAAACAGCTCCTTAAAAACTAGGAAAAAAATTGGTGGGGCACAAGGATGCACAATCACTGCATCTTTCTTCACATAGATGAGGGTAAATTAAAAAGAAAAAAATTATAAACTCAAGGTTTGAAACAAGTTTTCAACTTAGAGATTGAAAACAAAATGGCAATACAATGACATATTTTTTACATAAAAATACAACATATACTTAATTAAATGTTAGTTAAAAAAAATTTGTGTATTGAAGATTTATGACGGAATTAGACTTACAATATGAAATAATTTAAAAAGTTTATCATCGAGAATTTTAGTTAAAATCTGATAAAATTTATTTATTTTTTACCAGATACAAATTAGAATTTAAATAGAAAATATTCTGATTTATTTAATTTTAATTTAGAGTGTAACTTAATAATGTTACAGTTGAGAAGTTTACAGCATAAGACGATTAAATTGATTTAATTTATAATAAAACTGAGAGAAATTATTTAAAAGTGTAAATTTAATATATAAAGGAATCAATGGGAGGTTAAATTCACTTAATTTTAAAATTTATCTAGCTTGATAAAAAAAAATATTATTTAATAAAGTATAAAGTATTCCAGAAATATTTATTAATAGAACTAGTCACTTACTCAACCCAAGGTGGACCCACACAACCGTAGCCACCCTAATCTGACTTGGGTTCATTTTGGCCTCATGGCTCATTCTAGAAAATTAAAAATGGTTCATTAGATGTGATGGTGGACAACCACACAGCGTCTAAGAAAGAGTCATCTCCTTTCACTCGTGACTTGGTCAATCCACATCTTATCCACATTTGTAATGCCCCCTCCAAATACACCCCTACCAATTGTCCTTTTGCCCCTTTTATTTCTGATTTATCTTAATGCAGTTTTTATACCCATTCAATTTCAACTTTACTTTTAGATTTCCACTTACCATTATTTGTAGAATATTAATTAAAAAATTTGATAAATAATATTTTTTTCATTAAATATTTTTTTATATTTTCATATATTATGTGTTAAACTTTTTACCTTACTTAACTTTATTATTATATTTTAATTATTACATAGAAATGAATAAAAATATTGCTTGAAAGTAAGGTGTCGTAGCGAAAGGGGAAAATGGTACCTTCATGGCAAAGATGGGGTTGTGGAGTGATCGGGGATGATAAAGTAGTAGTAAACCAAAACGATGATGGTTTTCTAGATATCTTGGAACACCCACATGGTGGCAAAGGAAAAGAGATAGGTTGAGAATAAGAATAGAGTGAGAAGCAATGTTTTGGGGTGAATAGTAAAATTCACCCAAAAGAGATTCTTAATTTTTTATAATATTCAATCTCACTATTGTTGACTCCGAGCAATGCAATGCCGCAGCGATGCCGAGGCACCCAGATTTTGCATAAAGAGACGGGCTCAAGTCGATGACTAGCAGGAAAAATGGCAAACTTATCACCACCATTTATCAAGAAAATAGCTTGTTAAAGTGGTTCTCACAATAAGTGATTAATGATTTATGAACACCCTCCTTCTTAGATGCTTACTTTTGATGTCATGGATGTTACTACCCACGGACTATTTTGATTAATTTGTTCTTGGGCCTTTGACTTGTTCTTTACATAAAAAAGAGTTCATGGTTTTAGTTATTGTGACAGATTAATTTTTATCTTCAATATTTTAGAAAAAAATATTTTTAAATTCAACTTTAAAGTTTTAACATTAAAAATTAACAAAGTAGTCCAAGTTAAATTTCTGAAATTGAAAAAATATTTAAAAAAGGTTATTCATACCATAATGTGTATATTTTCGGCTTAAACAGTATTAATTTTTATAGATGATGCTCATGATTTAGGAAAAATTAATATTTTTTAGAACTTTATGTTGATATGGATAAGTTTAAATCTAGTCATCCAGAGTGCTAGTTAACTGAAGGATATTAAAATTCAGGAACTATTATTGTTCTCTGGCAACGTTAGGTTCAAATTGACTAGGGTAGTAGCAGTACCATTTTTAAAGATTCAAGTAATAGTCAAGTTTACAGATTTTTTAATGTCAAATGTGAATAGGGGATTAAATTGATTTATAATAGCAACAAAAAAACATTGAATTTGATTTATAACTTTCTTTACGGCTAAGTTATGCTTTTCCTTGTGAGAATAGGGATCCATACAGTGCATTAAGGGGCAAGGACTTGACCCCACTGGTCTAATGGT